GGCGCGCCGGGCGCGGCCGTTGGAGCAGCCGTTGGAGCAGGGGCGTGGCCGTTGGCCGCCCAGCAGCGCCCGCGGGGAGGGCTCGGCACCCCCGCGCTCACCGCTCCTGACAGGTCCCCATCTGCAGCCCCTGCTCGCCACGGCGCTCGGGGAGCAGCTTTTGCGAGAAGTCCTATGGAGTAGAAAGCTTCCATGGAGGCACTCCCCTCCCCCCCCAAAGGAAAGCTAAACAAAATAAAAATAGGAAAAAAAAAATCTAAGAGTATTTCTCAGTAGGATCAGTAAGCCATAATACAGGTTTCAGCTTAAGCTACTGCCTTTCTTTATCCTTGAAAATACCCTTTCATAGTAGAAAAAATACCCTTTTCTATTTAGATTCATCTTTGCAGGTAACAGAATTAACTGCTCCCATCAAATGCAAAGTCACTTTGGCCTCTCCTGGAGGGTCCAGGACGGATTCATCTTCACGAATATGTCCTCGGCAGCCAGCCTTCCTCGCTCCCTCAGGTACCGCAGGATGTGAGGCCGCTGCCTCCAGGTCACCTTCAGTCCGTAGGCATGCTCCGGAGTATCTGTGACCAGCACTGTTGTCAGATCCTCCCTCCGGGGGGGATCAACAGCGAGTGCCAAGGTGCTGCGGGGCAGCCAGGCATGGCCACTCATCTGCGGCAAAGTGCTGCTGCAGCTCCGGCTCCTTCCAGAAGGCAGAGTTTGAGCCCGTGCCTCTGGGGAACTAGAGACTTCTGGTTCTACAGGCTGAGCGTCAGGCGAGGAAGAGAGTTCCCCGCCCTTTTCAGGACTATCCGCTGGGATGTTGGCTTTTGCCACTGCCCTTTTTGGGGGCTGCCTGCGAGGGAGATGTGCATTCCTCCTCGAGGGATCCGGGCAATCTGACAAGTGGCGTGCGGGTCCTTCTGAAGTCTCAAAAGTCAAAGGGGGAAACTTGCAGGGCATAACTTTTCGGGAAGCACCTCCTTGACGAAGAGCATCCCACTTCTGGGCTCTGTGACTCTTCTGACATCCTTCCAAGCTCACTGGCTCTGATGTTCCAAACTGTGGGCACACCTACAGGGCAAGGCAGATTAAAACATTAATTTTCCTCAGAGAAAGGAATGCCAAGCCCATTCTACTCCCCCCCTCCATCCAAACTTTCTTCAGTGTTTTCATTAAGTGGTCTGCTCTGCAGCAGAGAAAGGCAGTTGCTAATCAAGTTAGTCAGCAGGACACTCTGTTAAACTTTGAAACTATGTTCTGCCACTCTTCTCTGGAAAGGGAATACAGTTTAACTGAGCTGCTCTAAGTTATGCACATAAGAACTGGGATTTTTTTTTTTTTAAGTTTAGTTGACATGTTCTCCTCTAATTCCTGCTAATTTAAAACAGTTCAGAGTTGCACATGGTTTCTTGTTGTATCTTAGTGTAAGTGAATAAATTCAACAAGTTACAACCTCACTCTCCCTGAACAGGTTCAATTTACATCAATATATGTAAGATGATTTCAAATAAAAGATGCCCACATTAACTATAAATTATGAAATAAAGATATTTTGGGGAGTATTTTGAAAGCCTTATTTATCTAAGATGAAGAAACCACCTGGGCATCCAATGTCAGTATTTTAGAGAAGCCAGTCTGGATCTTCCACAGCAATTCAGATTGCTGAGCTTTGACTATTACTCGAAAGCTGGAAACCCTTCTATTAAAGTATTCTTTACCTTCCTGAGTCTCAGTGGAAAGGATCGGCTTCACCGTTCTGCACGTTCTCCAGAGGACGTAGTGTTCAGAACAGAGTAGAAACTACCTGCTACAGGACCCAACTACAGGACCCTTTCAGTGTTCTGGAGTTACTGCAGTCTCTCAAAAATTAAGCATTACTGTGTGATTTGTATTACGGATTATGATTTTCCATTGTGCATCCGTCCTGCTCGAAGGCAAAGTCACTGCGCAGCAGAAACAGCAGTAGGTGCATCCTGGCACACAGCTTAAGAAGACCAGAGAGCTGCTAACCTTGAAGATGCGACTTCCTGGCAAGCTGGGTTTTACCAGGGCAGAAGCCTTGGAGTGAAAAGCCTGTGGAAGTCTTAACATACCCCCAGGATGAGGAAAACCTTCCAGCTGCCACCGCAACGACTTGAGGAAAGATGTGCAGAAGATGGATTGGGAAGTTGCAAACCTACCAGCATTCTCAGATGGGATAGCAGCTAACAGGTTCGGTGCTGTTGGCTTCAAATATGTTTTATAATTATAGTACATTCAGAATTGAAAGGCTGGTATGTTTATGTATGGCACCTTCATATATAAAAGGGAAAAAAAAAATGAACATGTTCTGCTCTGAAGTTAAGACATCACAAAAATAACTCCAGCGCCCAGGGCCAGAGGAATGTGGGTTTGAAACGAGGCTTCTCAGAGCTGCCCTGTAAAGAGCTTGGAGACCCAGGCAACAGGAACAGAACTGCCCAGAGCGGCAGGAGTTGCTGCACGGGAACAGCCTGACCATCTTCATAGTAGCTGTGTGCTTAAAGCTGTTCACATTACAAGCTAAAACACTGAGTGGCGGAGACAATGCAAACAATCCCTGCAATATTATTTCAAACCAGAAAAGGAACCCGTTAGATGCCTTGTTTGGAGAGAAACTGTTCAGAACTCACAGAAAAAGAGTGCAAAATAGGCAACTCAGGCCTCCACTCTAGGATTACTTGCTCTAAATTTAGCACAGCACTAGAATACCTCAAGCCCAATTGAAATGAAAGGCCTAGTACTTTCACATCCGTCACTCAGGGTCTGTTATTATTTCAAGGGAATTCGAGGGAATTATTTCAAGCAGTAAGCCAATAAATAATAGTAATAATAAAAAAACATGGAAAAGAAACGGAAAAGAAACGGAAAAGAAACGGAAAAGAAACGGAAAAGAAACGGAAAAGAAACGGAAAAGAAACGGAAAAGA